TTATAACCCACTAACAATAAGCTCGAACTCGGAAAACATGAGTTTGAATTCGAGTTTTTGTCGAGTTGGCTCATCGAGCTCACGAGCCGACTCAGCTCATTTACACCCCTACATAACCCCCCTAAGTACTGCATTTTTAGGGGATAATTTTGTAATAAAATTGAACAATTGTACCGTTTTGCTAATATTTATAATACATGGGTTTTTTTGGCAATTAATTAGAGTAAACATAGGGACGCTAAATGCAATAAACAGTTAAATGTTATCTAGTTTGGACCTAGTTTGACAACAAGGATGTGGTTACATAGAATATGTATTAGATATGTAGTCACGTGTTGCTGTATCTATATTTTTGTTTGCTAGAATTTGAAATTGTAGTTTTCTTTCTATCCTAATTTGTCTATTTATAATCATGGATTGTAACATTTCTTATTTTCATTTCTAATATTTAAAGAAATATTATAGTGAATGCAACATCATCAAGTTCATTTATCATGTTCTATTATTATTACATCAAATCGAATAAATTATTTGATTACATTGTGAGTCGATAATAAATTTTAGGGTAAATTACACCAACATCCCTAATGTATGCTAAAATAACTTTAAAGTCCCTATAGTATCGGTAATTACAATCACCCCCTGAAACATTGATAGATACCCTACGGAATAATGCATTGGATAAGTTATTCGGTTAGGGTTCTAACGAACTATTAGTTTCATACAGTGGTTGAGACAACATAGAGCTAAGGGATGACATGACTCTCCTAAAAAAATTTAAATCTTTACTATTTTATATAATATTTATAAATTTCATGTATGGTAGCATTAACGGGCCCACGGAAAACAAATATAGTACATATCGGTCCCTAGGAGATGAAATCTTGGCTCCGGTAATTGTTTTAGGGGTACGGCTGTAATTACCAATACTATATGGATCTTAAATATATTTTAGCATACCTTAGAGGTGTAGATGTAATTTAACCTAAAATTTATACATACACCTGCACTCTCGTATAATAGCTTACAAACCATACGAGAGATGTAAACTATACTAGGTTAACCATGTGTAACAAACTCGACCAAGCGGCTGTTAATTAGTAAGGAAATTTGAATCCGAATCAATTGTCACGTGCTCATTTGCTTCAACCATCATACCATCCATTGCAGGATAATACAAATCATATTTATGTCATAATCTCATGGTTATTACAGGGATTATTTTAGAGACCTCCCTCATATGGAAATTATATATAACTCCAAGTTAATTACATCCTTGTGCATATCCCTTCTATTTTAAAATTAATTTCACAGACCCCCTAGCCCATCCTAAAGTACCTAAAATGCCCTTTTAAAATCAGTTTTAAACCCTAGTCATTCACAGTCGTCTCTCTCTTCCTCTCTCAACTCTCAGATTCAAATCCCGCCCCCATAGATTTCCAACCGGCAAAGTTGCTTCCCGAAGTCATAACTCTCTCTCCGGTGGTCGGAATTCGATGGTTTACCTACCGTTAGATTCCTCTCATCGAACTCTTTCTTTTGATGGTGATTTCATTCAGTTTGGTGCGCTGGATCTGTTTGTGCAATTTTTTTTCAGTCGGCGCGTATTTCGATGACGGTAGGTCTTGCCGTCGGTGTATTTTGTGTTCCGCCAGTCGGAATTTGACGGGCTACCCACCGTTGGATTCCTCTCGTCGAGATCTATATTTTGATGGCAATTTTATTCATTTTTATATTGTCAGATTTATTTCTATATTTTTTCATTTGTGAGCGCGTAACCTTGGGTGGTTAGCGGCGGCTAGTGTTTTGGTAAGAGGCGATTGGGGTGAGGAGTCATTGGCGGTCTGGTCTAAAATTCGTAGCATTTTGCAGCTATGGCCTCTCTCTCTCTCTCTCTCTCTCTCTCTCTCTCTCTCTCTCTCTCTCTCTCTCTCTCTCTCTCTCTCTCTCTCTCTCTCTCTCTCTCTCTCTCTCTCTCTCTCTTAGTGTTTGTTAACTTTTGAGTGTTTTGATTTTCCTTCAATTTTTATTTTTTGCACTAAAATATTTTTTTTTTGTTTTGATTTTGCAATTGCATCTAAATGAAAGTCATTGATCCTTTCCTTGAAGGTGTGAAAAAATTGGTTGAAGTTACATCTGCTTCAAGTTACAGTATTCAACAGACTGTATACATTACAAGTTACATATAGTAACATGTAGTTACATATGCATAAATCTGTGTATTTTCGATTTGTATTTTATTGGTTCTGAGGTGATTTATAATACAAATATTGAAATTTGTAAATTTTTGTTGTTGGGGTTATGAATTTCTTTTGTGTAAGCCAATATTCATGTGTATATATAATTGATCGACTAAAAATATGGGGTAAAAAAAAAAACATAACTACGAATTACTATAGTTTACCACAGTTACATATAGTTACATGTAGTTATTTTCAACACAGTAAACATATTGATTTAAAAAAAAACTAATTAATAAAAATATATATAAATTAAAGATACAAGTTTATATATATATATAAAAAAAAGAAAAAAAAAGAATAATAATAATAAATATATCTGCAAAAATGTTAAATGCATGACCAGAAATGTTGAATGCAATTTGGCCGAAAATTACATATAAGGGTAGTATAGCACTTTTACTTTTCCAGGGGTATGTCAACGGATGATTTTGGCTTGGGTTTATCCCTAGTTTATTTGGTACCTAGGGCTATGTAAAATAAGTTCATTATTATAATCTCACTAGATTTTTGGCCCATGCGATGCACGGGATTAAAGTAAAATTAATACAAATTGAAGTTTCAATTTGTTTTTGATATTTTGCTATATATATTGATGATAATCCCCCATCCACTTGTTTTGCCATATTTATTAATTTAACTTTATATTTTTGATGTAATATGGTGGGAAAATTACAGATTTCGTCCTCATACTTTACCCACTTTTCCAAAACTGTCCCTAAACATTTTCGAGTTACAATAGTAGTCCTTAATCATGCCATTTTTTGACAGAATTGGTCTGCCGTTAACTTTTGCAGTTAAGTTGGACGGAAAATGGCATGTGCCTCTCACATGCCTTCAATTTACAACACTACATGAAAATGGACTTTCAACAACACGCATTGCGTATTGTTAAAACATATTTTTTATAATTATTATTTTTAATTAAAATTTAATATAAAATTGAAATCACGTAAATTCCAAAAAAAATCAACTCGTTTCGGAAATATTGTTTAAAAAATCAAAATATAGTTTAAAAATTTAAAATATTATTCCAAAATCGGCATTTTTGGAATTCAATTAAAATATATCGTTTCAAACCAAAATAAAAAACCCGATAGGAATTGGGGAATTAGAAATCTCCATTCCAATTTTCACCTCTAGTCAATTCAAAAACTCCCAATTGTGAGACAATATGTCGAGTTTTAAATCATTAAATATGGGTGAAAATTGGAAAGGAGTTTTCTTATGCTGCCTAGTTTGATCGAATTTTTATTTTATTTTAAAATAATGTTTTCATTTAATTTCCAAAAATTCCGATTTTAAAACACAATATTATTTTTTTAGACAATATTATGATTTTTAAACAATATTTCTGAATTTATTTTGAAAAACAAAATATCGAGTTTTAGATTATTTAATAAGGGTGAAAATTGGAACGGAGTTTTCTTACTCCACCTATTATGATCAGATTTTTATTTTATTTAAAACAATAATTTTCATTTGGATTCAAGAAAGTCCGGTTTTAAAATATTATATTATTATTTTAGACAATACTTCTAAAAATATTTTGAACAATTTTTCGAGTTTTACATTATTATATTAGGGTGAAGATTGAAATGGAGGTTTCTTATCCCGCCTATTCAGATCGAATTTTTATTTTATTTCGAAACAATGTTTTCATTCGAATTCCGAAAATCTTGATTTGGAAAGCAATATTTCATTTTTTTAACACAATGTTTCAATTGTTTAAAGAATATTTCTCAAAATATTTTAAAACAATATATATATCGATTTTGTTTTTTTTGAATTTATATAATTTCGAATCAAGTTTTAATTATGAAAATTTTGTTTTAACAAGACGCAATGCGTGTTGTTAAAAGTCCATTTTCATGTAGTGTTGTAAATTGAAGGCATGTGAGAGGCATATGCCATTTTCCATCCAACTTAACTGCAAAAGTTAACGGCGGACCAATTCTGTCTAAAAATGACATGATTAAGGACTACTATTGTAACTCGAAAATGTTTAGGGACAGTTTTGAAAAAGTGAGTAAAATATGAGGACGAAAAATGTAATTTTCCCTAATATGGTTGTATATTTATCTTATCTAAGTTAATGTTGAATTTTGACGAATCTTCTTCTTTATCACCCATAACAGGCCTCAGTAAATTTACTGTAAATCAATGATACCATTAAATCTCAAGAGTTTATCAGCAACAACTTTACTTTTATTACTAAGATAAGATACGTGAATTTGGGGTAAAAAAATATGAATATTTAGTGGATTTATTAACCTTGATGATATTAAATGAAATTAAATAATAAAAATAAATAATTAAATAAATAAATGAAAATTATAATTAACTATCAAATGAGCGGGAAAATTTTTCCTCGGATTTAGCAGGTGTAACCTTACTTTTTTTATTAATAAGATAAGATACCTGAATTTGGGGTAAAAAAATATGAATACTTCATGGATTTATTAACCTTGATTATATTAAATGAAATTAAATAATAAAAATAAGATATCCTTCTATATTTAAAACAAAATATATGTAAAAAAAAAAAAAAAGAAGAAAGAAAGAAAGAAAGAAAGAAATTAAAATGTGGTCCTCATAGTCATACAATATATCCCTCTCCACCTTTCCACCTCTCTCAAAATTCTTCTCACCCCACCACTCCACCACCACTTTATATATATATATATATATATATATATATATATATATATATATATATATATATATATATATATATATATATATATATATATATGTCATGGAAATCAGTATTAATAGAGCTAACAACCAACTGAAGATTCAGCAAAACCCCATTATTAATAACGAAAATATGAAGAAAACCGCCGCAGATCATCAGTCCCAAGACCATGACCTGTTTGGCGGTGGTGGTGCGCCTGATCAGGAAGACAAGAGAAAGAGGGCGGCGAGCGGCGGCGGCGCCACTAATACGAAGAAAAGCTCCGGCGGCGGCGGTGCGAGCTCGACGATGAAGAGCTGCCAGGCTGAGAAGTGCTCCGCCGACCTGAGCGATGCAAAGACTTACCACCGACGGCACAAGGTCTGCGAACACCACGCCAAGGCGCAGGTGGTGGTTGTCGCCGGAATCCGCCAGAGGTTCTGCCAGCAATGCAGCAGGTTTTAAAATATATTAATTATATATTTTTGTTTTTTGAGTGTGTTAGTTGACTACTGTTTGATTTAATTTCTTGATCTTTAGTATATAAATAATTATTATTTTAAAAAATAATTATTATTTTGATTATTCTTATTCTATTTTTCTTGTTTGGATCTAGTCGAGTTGATGATTGGTCCATTTTTTTTTTTTTTTTTTTTTATATACACACGTGATCCTTTGAATCGGCTCTCTTTTTTTACTTTAATTAAAAAATTAGTGTTCACAAATAAAGTTTCATATTATAAATAGTTAAATTATTGTTTCTGTCTCGATCGAATTTATAAGATGCTGCACCTGATGTAACATATCGGCTGATTTTGAACCGTATATCTATATAAATAAGTAAATAACTATCGGCCAAACACACATATTCATGATTATGTACTATTGTTTAGATTAAGTGTTCAAAATCACTCATTATATTTCACTGAATGTAACATCTACAAAACCGTCTTTATCGTACTTGATTGAAATATCTTATTGCAATTGCATATTATTACTATTAATTATTCTGCTCGTGGGAAGCTTAATCATTGTTTTGAATAACCAAAAAGAAAATGACACAAAAATGCTAAAGGAAAAGACAAGATTTAACTAAATATATCATGATGCCCAACTAAACATTATTGTCTTTTTTGGTTTATTGCATGTACTACCCTCTATTTATTCTAATTGGAAAAAAACCCCGTATGTTTTCAATATTAGCAAAAGTCACACACACTCAATTTTTCTGGTATCCCTATAAACTCACCATTTAAGGGGTACTTGTGGTAAAAAATACATCATAAGTTTTGTTTTTGATTTTTTTTGCGCTAATATTAGATATAACACGAGTAGTGTTTTATGCTTTTAGCAATTCGATATAACACAAAGGTTACTGGAATGCAATAAACCATTATTAGTAGAAAAATGATTTTTTACTACGAATTTTTTTTGCTATGGTAAAAAGCAGTAATATTGAAAGGTATCTTTTACTACTGAACAACTTGGAGTCGTAGTAAATGCTAGGATTTATCGTTGCAAAAAAAGTATTTGCTACAGTTATTTACCGTAGCAAAGTTTTTGTCACGCCCGTATATGCTACGGGGCAAATTCGTAGCAAATTTTTTTTTACTACGAATTGTTACCTTTTGCAACGGTTAATATTGGTTGTAGTAAAAAACCATTTTTCTTCTAGTGCCTGATTGTTTTGAATTCAACTAACATTAGTTTCATGAGGGCCGTCGTAACGACAACTAATCTTCGAGTCTTGAAATTAAAAAAACGAAACACTTCAATTATTTGGATGGATTCTTTTAATTTGTTTGTCTAGCTAATTGTCTCTTGATACTTTATATTAGAATAAATACTTGGATATGCATGTACTGCAGGTTTCATGACATTTTGGAATTCGACGAAAGCAAAAGAAGCTGCAGAAGGCGTTTGGCAGGTCACAATGAGAGGCGAAGGAAAAACCCCGCCGACAGTTATTCACAAGGAGCAGCAGAAGGTGGCGGCTCCTCCTCCTCCACCACCACCACCAGCCGGATCAAAGGCGGCAGTAGTAACACGAGCAGCGGTCACGTCCAAGAAAATGCAAATAATTACAACAAACACTTCCATATCAGATGACTACAATCGATTAATTATGGCTAAGTGGAATTAAGCTCCCTCTCTTCTGTCATCCTCATTGGCAATTTATATATATATGCTAAAGTATATTTAGTTAGTAGCATATCTATTTAAGGCCATGCAAAAAAAAAAAAAAAAAAAAAAATTGGAGCATTTGTAGCTACAAGTACTCCTTGTGTTTATTGACTTGGTCATATATAAACATTCTCCAATAAGCCATCTCTTATTTTGGCATAATTTGATTGTAATATTGTTACCTAGCTAGCTAGTTTGCCAAAAAATGTTGTCAAGTATTCTAGTTGATGTGGTCTAAACTTCATCGTATATATATAGGGTTGGATGCGTCCTCTCGTCGATAAGTATAACTTATAAGTCTCGTTTGATATGAGGGATATGAATACGTAGCTATGAAATACTTGAGTCGATTCTAATCCTAAGGCCTCGTTTGGTTTCCAAATCTAGTGTTCTATCATTTGGCGCAACATCTCCGAATTCTTGAAGTAGAGGCTGTACCGGTGGATGAAATTGAAGTCTTTATTTATTCTCTTCAATAACTATCAGAACATAAGCTTCTTGTATTTCGTCTACGGCGGCAAGAAATTATGTCTTTGATAGTAAATTGTTGTTTCCTCATCCTTTTGAAGGCTCAGGATTGCTATCAATTATTACGTTACACACTTTTCCCAGGGAAGTACACATTGTATGGAAAGTGTTATTGCGAAGCCATTTATCTTCTTCCACGTGGATAGCATTTAAGCTTCGTTGAATGACTAAGCTTTCTCATTCGTCACCATAAGTTACGTCTTCATAAAAAAATAGGCCCACTATCATCTGGAGCGTCTTCTTGCACAAAAAAAAAATCATTTCACTCTTCTACCAGGGTCACAATCTTTCTATTTGGGCAATCGGAAGCAATATGGCCTAGGCCGTGACATTTGAAACAACAAGTGTTAGAGAGTCTAATTTGCACCAGATGATCCCTCTTGCCTTGTGGGTTTTGAAGTTGTAGTCTTGCTAATTGAACTTGAATTAGGTGAAGAAACAACTCCTCGAGGTTTGTTTTCCTCACACGTCCATGACCTCGAGCGTCACTACATTGTTGTAAGTCCAATGTGGTTGCAATCGGAAAATATCACTAATCTACGGGCGTAACCTTGCTAGATATTGAGCAACTGTTTGTTCTTCTGGCTCGATGTGATCACATATAATTCGAACATTATCAAATTATGTTGTAAACTCTTCCACTGACTTTTCGTTTTGTCTTTAGTTATGATAATTTAGTGATGTCTTTTGTCTACTTTTTTCTGATTTTTGTTTTTATTTGTTATGTATTTTTTTTTTTTTTCATTATTTTTTATTTTTTTA